CTCAACAGAGACTGTCAAATGAGTGATGATACATCATATAATACTGTGCAGTCTTGAAAAGGCCGGTTGTTAAATACTGTAATGGAATGTTCTTCAGGATATAAGAAGTTTAAAGAGCAAAGTACTAAGCTGTGATGAGTGTGCTGCCATTTCAATCAGAAGGGGCCCAGGAACTCTCTATGTGTGCACATATTATAGGAGTATAATATATCTCCAGAAAGAGATGTAAGAATTATGTAAGAATTGATAACAGTGTTTGCTTCCTGGGAGGGGAGCCTAGTGCCTTGGGAAACAGGGATAGAGAGATGACTCTTTGTTCCATATAATCATGTAATAAAAGAAAATACAAGGGGGAATGTAAAAATTAGAGGAAGGTACCTATAACAGATGGTATATTTCTTTCAGTGAACTTAATTTGTTTACTCAGCAAATACTTGTTGAGTGCCTAATATGTCCCCAGCCCTGTGGTAAAAACTAGCGAAGAAAACTAGACAAATCTCAGCCCTCCTGAGGGTGGTGGAGGTTGCAGACAGTAAATAAATTACATAGTATATTAGAAGGTCGTAAGGACTATGAAAAATCAAGCTGGGAATGGGGATAGTGAATACTATGAGGAGGGAGGTAGGGAGGTAGCAGAGGATTAGGCATTTTTAAGTTAAGGTGGCCTGTGAGCAAATCTCTGAAGAAGGTGAAAAAGCAAGTCGCATGGCCACTGGGGATGGAGCCCTATGGGCAGAGGGATCTGCACATGTAAAGGCCCCAAGGGCACGGACTGGTGTGGCTGGAGTACGATGAACAAGGTGAGCCGTTGGAGGTTTTTGAGCAGAGGAGTGACCAGACTAGATTTTTGTTCTAAAGGTTCTCTGGCCCCGGTGCTGAAAATAGACTGTGGTAGGGGCACAGGTAGGAGCAGGGACCCACAGCAGTAATCTGGTGAGAGATGGTGTGGACCGTGGTGATCTGAAGCACGATGGACTGGATGTGGGTGAGGAAAAGAGGAGTTAAGGAGGACTTTCAGGGTTTGGGCCTGAGCCGCTGGGTGGATAGAACCAGTGGAGAGGGCTGTGGATGGAGCAGGGGCAGGTGGGAGACTGGGCCGAGAAGTCAGGAGCTCAGGTTGGGACGTGCCTATTGGAGGCCTAGAGGGAGCTGTCATCTGGACAGGCGGATGTGTTATCTGGGGCTGAGGAGAAGCTGTTCCAAACCTGTGGTGAGGTGTGTTTCTGGAGAGAAGTCAGTCAGCAACGAGTAGTGGGAGCTTTTTTCTTCAGGTTGCACATGACTTCCTCTTAGGAGGAATGCAGCATTCCAGTCCTCTGCTGTTCATTTGTTCAGGTCAGACTTTTCGGGCAAGCGTAGTCGGGAGTGACAGTAAACACAGGACACCTCCTACCTGCCAGGCGTGGTTCTCAGCTCTAGTATGGATTAGCTCACTTAGTAATCCTCTCAGCAGGTCTGTGTGGGCGTGGGAGTCAAGTTATTGTCCCCACGCTTATAGATGAAGAAGCTGGGGAACAGAGAGCCTAGAGAACTTGCCAGAGGTTTCATGACTAGTACCTGAAGTGCAAGCACTCCACCTGTGTAGTCTGCACCCCAAGTGCTCTGCTGCCGCCTTTGCAGCCGGACACTCTTCAGGCTTAGTGAGAGCGAGGCCCAGGGGCCCCTCCAGGGCGGCCCAGCTGACTGAAGTAGAGCTCTGTGGTCACGGAGAAGTATGTCTGTTGGTGTTAAGTTGCCTTTATTTAATAAAATATCGGGTGCCTGGGTGCCTCAGCCGTTAAGCATCTGCCTCCGGCTCAGGTCATGATCCCAGAGTCCTGGGATCGAGCCCCACATCAGGCTCCCTGCTCCGCGGGAAGCCTGCTTCTCCCTCTCCCCCTGCTTGTGTTCCCTCTCTCGCTGTCAAATAAATAAAATCTCAAAAAAAAAACCAAAAAAACATTCACCTTGTTCCTATCTTATAAAGACATTTTGACTCTGAATTTTATGTTTTGATAGCTTAATGTTGCTCATTGTTTAGGTCAATAGAATTTTAAAGGTTGCCAAACCCAACTTTGTGGTCATGAAGTTACTGGCAGGAGGACACAAAAAGGAATCTAAGGTAAGCGCATTGTGGGGAAAGTAAATGGGTGTTAAATTATTGTAGAACTTTTTAAAAAATACGATGCACAAATATTACAAAAAGGTAAAACATTCAAAAATCATCCCTTTAAAAGAGTTCAGGGGCGCCTGGGTGGCTCGGTCAGTTAAGCGGCTGCCTTCAGTTCAGGTCATGATCCTGGGATTGACCCCTGCATCGGGCTCCCTGCTCAGCGGGAAGCCTGCTTCTCCCTCTCTGCCACTCCTGCTGCTTGTGCCCTTTCTTTCTCTCTCTACCTCTCTCTCTCTGTCAAATAAAATCTTTAAAAAAAACGAAAATAAAAAATAGGTTCAGGGGCAGAAAATAACTAGAGCTTGCCATTTTGCTTTGAAACTTAAGAGATTTTATTGACTTAAAATTTCTAAAGTCTGCCCTTCCATGCCCCTCCCTCCTTTGTCTAAGTTACTGTGAACGAGTAAAAGAGTAAAACAGAAAATGTGTGAAAACAAATTTATTATGGGAGAGAGATTTAAAAAGTCATCTGCCTTTAGAAAAGTGAATGCCTCAGTAATGAAGTCTTTAACGGCTGGAGAGATGGTAAATTCTGTCAGCTTCCCTTGCTGATGTTGTGTCAACATGTGCCTGCTGAGCATTGGCACACCTACATGAACCCGTCGACTCCCATCGCGGCTTGCTCTCTGCTGTCCTCATCTTCTGCCGTGCTTTACTATAGACACGGTTTCGTTGCTTAGTACTGTCCATGACCCAGGAACTAAAGTGTGCTGACCCACCACCCTTCCCTGTGATTTAAGTCCAGTTGCCTTTGTGAACTGTTCCCTTTCATAAACCCAGAGATAAGCTCATTGTTTTCCCTCCAGGTTAGTTCCTATCTTCTTTGTCATTAAACCAGGTTTTTTTCCTCTCTCGTGCTGCCTTACCTCTAAAATTGGGAGAAACTAAAATACTGTACTGTCTATTTGTAGATACATTTGTTTACTTTCTGCCTTTCTTTACAGGTTCCTCCTGAATTTGATTTCTCTGCTCACAAATACTTTCCTGTTGTGAAACTTGTTTGAGAGACACTGAAAGGGGGGACATCAAGGGGCAGAATCTACTTTCAGATTCTAAGGGGATCCATCCGTCTCAGCACATAACATGAAGTGAAATGGATTTCTTGGATAACAGCCTATTATAAGAAATACTTTTAATTTGACAGCCTTATACGACGTGAATGAAAACTGCTGTTTTAAAGTGGTTTGTTATGTTCCATGGATGAAACTGGGCTTACTGAATGCAGTGATGAATGTTATATGGTTTTATTACAGATTTAATCATAAATCATTTTTTTATGAATGAGTGAAAATAGTGTTTGTAAAGTTAATAAATTTCTTGACAAAAAAATGCACTACTGGAAATGAAAAACCACAGCACTTTGTTGATGCATGTTAAGGACTGAAGGTGTTTTACTTGAATAGTTCAAACAGATTCAAAAGAAGTTTCAAAACAATTGATCAAACACTTGAATGGGGTTTTGGTAAAATACATTTAAAAGAATATGCGGGGTGGGGGGAACCTCTGTCTAGGGAGACTAAATTACGTGGGGATTGTGATTTTGTGTGTCATGATGTCTTAAATTATATACCTATAAGAATATAGAGGTTTTTTTTAAAATCATCCTTTAACTGTTCCTTTTGGCACCTTTAAAACATGCAAAATGTTTGCTAGTGACATTATTCAAGAGGTAGGAATGTGTAGATTTTAGGGTTAGGTTTCAGTGTGGCATACTTTTTGTTCACTACTAAATATTCAGTTTAACCCATGCAGCGTTTTCAAGTGGGGATCTTTCCAGTATCTGCTGCCTTCGAAAACAGACTTAAATCCACCTGTACCTTGTAAGTGCCCAGCACCAGAGGCCCTACCCTTCCTTTGCTGCCCATTCCTCTTCCTGGCTCATGCTGCCGTGGATTTTTATTCTACATTAGATGGTATCATTTTATTCTAAGAAGTAAAGATAGGAACACAAGCATTTGTTTCAGCTGGCTAGGGCCTTGGTTTATAAAACTCATTATGTGAAGTTTATGCATAAATTTAAAGAAAATATTTCAAGTCCTTTAACTTTCCCAGAGATGTGTTTCACAGGCACACCAACAAGGATGGAAGCATTTTACTTGAGCTTTTTCAAAAGTACATGTGATGATACCAACTTTGGGATAATTTATAGATTGAAGGATTACTCAATTTTATAAGCCAGTTTTTAAGGGACGGTGGCTTCGTACACAAACATTTAAATACACAAACTATTATTTCCCCAACTTTGACACTAACGAACATTTTCAAAGTCTAACAGTGTGGGGAAAAAAACCCCTACAATTCATGGAATCTTTTTGTATTTTTCATAAAATTCAGAGACAAGGATTAGAAGTTGAGTGTTCTATAAACTATCAATTATTTATAGTAATCTCTTAGTGGGAGTAGACCAAGCCCTTGGACCTTAAAGGCTCCTAAATTCACACTTGTCTTGCACCACTCTAGGTTCTGCTAAGAAGAGCTGACCAACTACTATCAAAACAATCATGCCAGTTACCAATCTAGTTATTTAATGACCGCACACTGACTTAACAGGTATTGGTTTGTCAAATTCCATCACACAAAAGTACATTAAGTATGTGCAGTGCTTTCATTACTCAAAAAGTCTGAGTATCGTGCAGGGAATCTACAGTCCCACCTGGAGAAGAAAAGATGAGTCATCACATTCCTGTCTACATACCATTTGAGAATACAGAGGAAGGTGTAAATTAAATAGTTCACACCTATTAAAAATTGGAATAGCTGCTGATTAATTTTGGATGAAACCAGAAGACCAAAGTGGGGGGTTTGCCATCTACTTACGTATTACACAGGTTTTTGTTTTGTTTTTAAAAAAAAAAAAAAACAGCCATGACCCCTCTATAAATTGTTGCCTCAGAATAGGTTGCCTATGTGATGTCAAGGTAAGCCGGTGGTAAGAAATGACTGTCTGGAGAGATTACTCACAGTACACACCTCCTGAACAAATGGCCTTTGGTGCCTCTGTACATGAAGATGGAAACAGCGTGGTTATTTTTTATTTATATTGACATCCCATCTCAGTCCACAAAAGGTTTAAGGCAAACCACCATTCTTAATCTATAATTTGCAAGCTGATTCTTCAGGAATCCAATAGGGCAGTAAAGGAAAACAAAGCAGCTGAACTAACAGTCTTGTTTCTTAGAACTCTATGCACACTGATTAAACATGGAATGAACAGATGTTTTATTGAAAAGGCAAGAGAGATTATCCTAAGACACAAAGAGAAGTTGGACAAGGGCTTAGATAAAACCTTACAAAGCTATTTTTAACACTCTTCGTTAGTTGCCTTTTCCGGGTAGAAAAGTTTAATCTTCGTAATTAAGTAAAAAGGTACCTACATGAGTAACATTCACATTGGAGATCTTAACCTGAATGCAAACCAGGTCCTGACTTCAGTGCCAGCCAGGGGCACCATGAGTCCAGACCAGGTGAGGGGCCAGACATCCAGCTCACCAGCTGTCTGGCCTGTGTAGTTCTTTAACTTCTCTGGACCCGTTCCTGTCTGAAGTTGAGGGGTTATAGCAGGTGATCTGAGGCTCCTGCATCTCAAATCCTCTGACTTGTATTTAATAAGTATCACTGCCCACTCACCCTTAAGACCTGAGAGTCATTAGTGTGACTCTGCCAGTCATTAGTAAATGGAAAGAGCCTATTTACTGGAAATACGGAGAAGCAACTCAGTGTGAATTATGATTAGTCCTTTTCAAATTAACATTGATTTTTAAATCACTTTTGATAGTCAATTTACCACAAGCCAAACGTATAGACTATGGCAAAAACAACTGTTAATTTCTCTTGCCTTTCTAAACTTTCCCCGTGTCACACTGTATATACTCTTAACATCAACTTCCTCTCCTTTTCCTGTAATGGTGCAGTGGACAGTCCACAGCAAACGTGCCCCCGCAGTGCTGTGCTGCCCCCTCTCCCCGCCCCGTGCTCTGCTACAGGCCCCAGGGTCAGCTCTGGTTTGGCCCCTGTTGTGTCAAAAGTCGAATCCAGCCATGGCTCTTGGTAATAGGGACTTAGTAGAGAAGATTTTGCTTTGCCCACACATACTAAGCAAACTAAGAGATCACAAATATTCAAATTACAAGTCACTGAGAAGCATTTTTGTACATTAATGACAAAGGTTATAGAAGTTTTTTTTAAAAATTCTCACATAAAATGTCTTTGTATGTAGACTTGTTTAAAACTGTCGCTAGTGATGTTTGTGTTAACAGTTTTGTACTCCAGGCCACTGACTGTCGGAACCAGAAGTGAGCACATGAGAGTATAAGCCAGGAATCGTTCGGCACTGACCTGTGAGAACAAATACCGGGCTGGTACCGGCCACTCAGCACAGCGTGTGAAGCGGGACACCAGAGGGACCAGAGAAGAATTCTCAGGTGCGGTGGGTCTCTTGGTGTCAGAAGACAGACTCTTCTACAGGCTTTGATTTTTTTTAAACAAAGTTACATTCCAGAATTTTTTAAGTGCCACTGTCACCATACTTGGAGAACTTGGGTTCTGTTTTTGGCGCTGATCTTCTCATACCTATTAGCTGACAAATTCTGACACCTTAGTAAAAATACTTCGAAAAAACCATCTACAACACAGTCATTTTCCTACATGAAGTACATATTAAAACTCCACAATAATCATCTTTAGATGTATATTTTAGTACATTTCACAGTATTCAACCCCTCATATTTTGTAGTGATCTCTGTTCAATCCTGACATGAAGTATATGATTCCAGTTGATTCAGACTGTGTGATTCCTCTTTTCACGCTGATCAAGTAAATTTACATCTCCTTTCTGATTTCCAGCATTAAGAACTAAAAAAGAAAAAAAAATAAAAACCATAATCTAACATTAAAACATTTAGGGGAAACCAGCCAGGCAGGTTCTGTTTGACCTAACTATCGAGAGACTGCCTCATCAAGAGGACAATATCTCCCTCAGCAACATAATGGGGGATTGCATTCCTAATCAAGGACAAGACAGTGAACAGACTACATGTATGGCCAACATGGTGCCATGAAATAAAGCTAAAACATCTAAAAACTTCCTATTTGAAATACTGAAATAATGCCCCATGTCCTCTAAAGTGGACAATATAAAATATACTCATAAGATTTGTGATACAACCACAACCCGTCTGTGCTCCATGCATCCCTGTTGGTATCCCTCCCAACAGGAAACACAATGCCCTAAGAGCTACCTGCATCTTCAGTCAGTTCTTATTACTCCAAAGCTTCTCCTTTACTGTATGTGTCTGTATGTGGCGCCCATCGTCCTTACTCTCCTTCAACACACCAAGGACATACAAAGACCTCACAAAACCTAAAACCACCATGCTGATTTACAACTACGACACATTAAATGGTTAATGATTTTATTAAATGAATTAAATGACTGCCTTAATATTGTCTTTTAAAGTTCTCTAATAAAGTTGGAACTAATGCCTTTTTCTTCTAATTTCCCTGGAGCAAGCAGGGAGGGTCTTAAACTATTTTTAATGATAGAATCTTAACATGATGGTGATGACAATTCTTGGAACTGTTAAAGCTTACAGAACATTTTTCTTTGCCTGCGTCCTTTGTTTGAAGCCTTGTACAAGGTCAAATTCATGGTATACCTGTGTGTAGGGGATGAAAGATCCCAGGGCTCTACTGCAAAGCCACACATTTAGGACACTAGACTGATTTGAAAGGACAGTAAAAGGGATGTTAAGACAGTAACCACACCAGCAAACAGTCAAGGACTGGGGTACACAAATGAGTGGACTCGATGACAGGAACAGAAAAAGAAACTTTGTTTAAAATTCTGACTTGATAATATGTTCATGTTTTAAGTATAGTCTAAGAAAATTTAAAAATCAAGTTAGAACTCCTATTTCTAGAAAACCTCAAAAAAACTCTGCCAACTGTAATAACTGACATGCTAGATGAAATATGAAAAGATATTTTAAAGAATGCACTGTTGAATCAAACCCAAGCTGAGAGACTTTCTACCAAATAACTGGCCAGAACACTTCAAAAACTATCAACATCATAAGATAAAAACAGATGGTTTTGGGTTAAAGGACCCTAGGGAGGTGTGACAATAAATGCAGCATATAATCCTGGATTATTATATCTTGGACCAGAAAAGGGATATTAAGTTGGACAGTTCACTAAATTTGAATAATAGCATTGTATCAATATTAATGCCATTTCAATAACTGTACTATGGTTATATAAGATGTTAATATTTGGGGAACCTGGGTGAAAGGCATATGGAAATTCTATTTTAAATTAAAATCTATTTTCAAATTGAAAAGTTAAAAATTTTAAAGACACTAAAATGCACTGTCTATAATGGCAACAGAAGAAGGAATCTGTGAGGCCAAACGTGGAGTGAAAAGTTCCAACTCCTGAAGGTAATAAACATCAAAGCTAGCTCTGCCCTGAGGACTTCTGAAGCCTGAAGACACCGGGCTTCTCCCTTTACAGCTTCCAAAGATGCAGAGGGACAAAAACTAAAGACAAGGGCTCCACTCTGGATGGTAAGTCCAGAATGGGACTCCTAGATAGAGCTGAAACTCCCAAAGGCTCGTGTCTTTGGATTAAAGGTAAAGGAGAAGTCTGCAGTCAAGATGGGACAGCAAGAAAGCCTAGTGGTTAGACTGGGGAGGAGGACTTCTTAAGTATATGAGACGACCGTGCAAGTATACAGTTAGAACTCACGTTCCCTGTGTGATCCAAAAAATATCTGAAGAGAATTTACCTTATTAAAGAGGTGGTGATTTTGTAGTGCCCTTCTTGAGACTGATAGAGGCAAACAACCCCTAGTGCAGTACTGCTCTAACTCAGGCCCCAGAGGCTTCCTACAGATAGAAGTTCCCAGGAAACTAGTAGCTCACAGTTAAAGCACAAAACACAAGGAAAGAAGGTATCCTAAGGACAGTCTGATAAAAGAAATACAAGGTTTTCAGATACTGCAACTGGAAGATAAAAGTCTGATACATTTAAAGAAATAAAAGATGTTTGTAAACATGAGCAAAGAATAAGAAAGTTTAGAAATGAAAAAATTTAAAAAGCATGAATTAAAGAACAGATAAGGCATAGCTGAAGGAAAAATTGGTGAACTCGAAGCTGTCTGAGGAAGTCATTCTGAATGTAGATCAGGGAAGCAGAAATGGGTAATATGAAAAAAAAAGGGTAAGAGACATGAATAGAATGGTAAGATCTAACATTTCTGATCTGAGTTTAAGAAGGAATCAAAATGGGAAGAAGCATTATTCAAAGATATCTTGGCCGTAATCTCCCAGAAGTAGCCTTGTCAGATAAAAAAAAGGAGGGGGGAGCGGGGGACGGAGCTGTTAGAACAGTGTGGTATAGTGTGAGTCAGCAGGGAAATCAATGGAACAGAAAGTGAAAAGTAGACCTGAGTACATACAGAAATCTATTTGGTAAAGGTGGCACCTCAAATCAGTGGCTTTGAGCTGGTGTTTGGCCAACTGGACAGCCCTTAGGAACAAGAAAATTGGACCCAACCTTGCGCCACAATACCTGAATACATTTGAAATTAGTTATGAATTAGAGGTCTAAATGTAAAATATAAAAACATGATGATGATCCTGGAAAAATGGTGATAACACTGGCATAGTTTTTGAATTTCAGGGTCCCTACATAAAGTGACTACACTGAAAAACTCCAATCAGACATTTATAAGAGTAGATGGCAAGGAATCCTGCAGACCCCAAAATACAAGCAGAGACAAAGACAATGGCCAGTGCCTGTATGCTAACACTGTCTAGGAAGAAAACAGGAGCAATGGAGCACCTGATGGACCTGAGAACAGAACAGGATAACCCCAAACAACCAAAAGATTTACACCCGAAAGTACCTGGGCCAATGGATAAACTGCAACTGGAAAGCAGGAGACTTTCTGCTACTCCCGCAGCAGGTGACCACAAAGTACTTTCCTATGGTAAGGACTGAGGGGCCAGGGGAGGCTGAGCCCCATGAACTTCTGAAACTCATTTGCCAGGACTCCCTTCTGGGGCTCCTTCCCAGGTAGAGCCCCATGGGGGTAGGGGGGGAGGAGAACAGCTGAGTGTGGAGGAGAGCCGTGGCTGAGCAGGACAGGAACAAGAGACAAAGGACCTGAAGGTTCAGATTAAAGTGGGGAAGGTCCCACTGACCAAAAAAGATGGGACAACCTCAACTTCAAAAAGGGTAATAAATACAGTTGAACGAAACCCATCAAATAGGTTTAAGTCCACTGAGTTTGCATTTTAAATATCACCCTGAGAGGAAGACAGGGAAATAATTATTTTGAAAATGGGTAAATAAAAAGAATCAAGCATTTTTATCCTGCCTATGTTATAGAACTAAAACCACTGACTTGCCTATTTATAAAAATATCCTAGTTAACCAATGGAATAGAAAAAGCTGAATTAGAATACCATGAATGAATTAATGAAGGTACTGAACAACAACTGCTACTTATGTCACAAAAAGAAAGGTGTTCCTTGCCTCCTGATGAAAGAACACACCACTGCCTCCCACTTTACCAAGGGCTTGAGCCCAAACCTGAACCAAGCCTCTGGATATCAGCTGCCAATATTCGGGAAATAGAAAGGAAAAAAGAACATACTAAAACGGCACTATGAATGTACAATCAGCACTATAAGGACTGTGGAAAACTCCAGGGCAAATGGAGGAAAGGAATGGAGGGGGAACCTGTAGACTAAGAGACATTTAAAGAGCTATCAATTTTAAGAAAGCGGGCAAAACTAAACTGGTGTCCAGGGATGCCCACTTGAGTGATAAGCCCATAAAGAAATGCAAGAAAATGCCTATTAGAAAGGTCAGGATAGGGGGTACTATTATGGGGAAAGACTGGCCTCTGGAGGGCTGGTCAGGTTCTAGTCCTTGAGGTGAGTGGGGACACAGTTACATGGTATTTACCTTCTAAAGACATTTGCTTTGTGTGGTTTTCTGAATTTGTGTTTTACTTTTTAATAGAACTAAAAGAAAAATGTGAAAGCATACTTAAACACACAGATGAATTCCTTCCAACACTAGATGGGAAAACTTGCTATGATTCAATACCCAGAGACAATAAAAGACATAAAAGTTTTGAAACATTCACATGGCAAAAAACACCATACATAAAACCAAAACACAAACTGGGAAGAAGTATTTACAACTTACACCACAGATAAAGGGCAATCTCCCTAGCATATAAAGATCTCTTAACAACTAGGAAAGGAAACATTAAGAATCTGATAGAAAAATGAATTTTAAAAAAGGGAACTATGGCGGGCGCCTGGGTAGCTCAGTCGGTTGAGGGTCTGCCTTCAGCTCGGGTCATGGTCCTGGGGTCCTGGGATCGAGCCCCACGTCGGGCTTCCTGCTTGGCGGGGAGCCTGCTTCTCCCTCTGCACCCCGCCCCCCTTTGTGATCTCTCTCTCACTCTCTCGCTCAAAAAAAAAAAAAAAAAAAAATTCTTAAAGAGAACCATGAAACCACATGATACTACAAGAGGATATGTGGCAGGGTGACAGCATTAGAAAAGTCACCATCAGACAAGGGTTTTCAATGGACGCTAAAGCCACACCATTTCAAAGCATCCCCTTCCACGTGACTTCTCAGTTACAAAGGGAAAATGGCAGTGCCTTAACCAGGCCGTCAACCTGCCCGGGCCTGCCTCCTGGTGGGAAGCAAGAAGAGCACACTGCAGCTGCAAATATCATCCAACCTGAATCGAATCACAAGCCAATGGACAAATCCAGAATCTGATACATCCCACTGGCCCAGATCCTTTAAAATTCAAAATGATAACAAAGTGCTACTATAAAAAGCTGCCTAGAAGTACCGTGCAGATGTTAGGGCTTTTTGACTGCTGATACAGAGTGATCAAGTGGTGACCTAGCCATCTGTTGGGAAATCCCTAGATGTCATGAAGACAAATCCTCCAGCCAACACCTGAGGGCTGGAGCCCCCTAAACACACAGACCTTCTGAAAGGTCTTCACCTTGGACTTCTCAACCCTCCCCTCCCTCCACGGCCCCATGTTCAAAGGCTTCTGGATTGGATGGATTACTTACAACATTAGTGCTGGGATTCAGTGTTTAGTCACTGCGAAAGTGAACGAAGGACCACAATGTGAAATTCAAGGCAGGCCCACCGCCTCGGCACACCTCTTACCGTTCAGGTTTCTGTCGTTCCCTGCGAGGGCTGCCTGCTTATCTGTTTCCGATTCTGCCTCATTTTCATCCATGTTGTAGTCCTCCTCTCCTGCTAGCTTTTGCTGGTGTCTCCCTGTAAAATGAGCACAGGCACAGAGAACACAACCCACATGACTCTCTCGAGGCCGCAGGGGCACCAGAGCCCAGGAACCGGGGTTTTTCCCAGTCATGGCTCAACAATCAGGTCGTCTTGCGACCTCTCAGAGAACGGTGGGCACTTGTGTGCCTGCTGCTGGTACAAACAGCAGGTGCGAGTTCTCCACTTCCCTGGCACCCCCGCTTCAACGGAGTCCATAGAAACCGTGGCCCTCGACACAGGGCTGTATTCTGGGCTGGAGCTAGGGAAATGAGCTAATTAACCCCAAATCCTGGGTGGTGGTTTGTTTTTTTTCTTTTTAAGAGACCATCAACTCGAGGTTAAAGGAAGGCGCTGCTGTTGCTGGAAACAACAGGTTTCTAGTTAATGACGGCACCTCCTCAGAATGGCTTGTGGCTCTGACAGAAGCAAATGGAGAGGCTACTGGGTGCCAAAGGATTTTCCATCATCCCTACAGAATTAGATCATGCATCACCACATTCAGCCCTGCAGAGAACCACCACCAGAAAAGATCAGGACAAAAGGCGTTCAAGAGACATATTCATAGGCTTTCCTGTGAATGTCTTTTATACACATATAGGTAGGTAAACAAAATCTTTTTTTAAAATGCGGGTCTGGGAGAGTTGGCTCTAGTTACATCCCCCTGCACTCACTGCCTGAAGTGGAGGCAAAGGCCACACCTTTGGGCCCTGCCGCTTTATTTGACAGCTGCACCAGGATGACGTGTATCCTGCAGGACCTCAAGCCAATCCTCAGATATTACCCTCTGTGGCCAGTCTGAAACCTGAGTGCCACTGGATTGGCCACCAGAGTTTCCTCTTCTTTTTAATTCTTTAACCGAAACCTCGTGAGAGAACAGTCTTCAGAAAGAAAAACTCAAGTGCAAACGAGATCTGGAAACAGGGTGATTTCCACAAATAGGCACATTCCCCCACTCTTGTTAGTGGCTCGTCCCAGAGCACAGGTATCTTCACTTCACAAGTGTTCCTGGCTCGGCTGGGAGTGACGTCTTCCACAGCTTTTAGGGACCCAAATACATCCCAGAATATTGTGTTGATCTCAGTTTCCCCACACTTCTATGTATCTTAAAAAAAAAGTCCACCAAACCAGATAGGATTCACAGGTCACTTTGCTGCCATGCTCAAATATGCATGAAACCCCATCTACCCAATCCCATTCACTGGGCACTGGTGGTGACCCCATGTGCAGGTGGAGATGCGGATACACAGGCAGGGCACAGGGTCCAGTGCGGGGGCTACATTCACTTGATGCTAAGCACCCATCTCAAGGCCTTCCACCTGAAAGCCCCCCCAAACACTGCGGACTCCCTGTGAATATTAATTCTGACAAATCCAACTGCTGGTGAGCACACTGCTCTTCCCTCCCTCCTCCTACCTGGTAACAGAGACCCAACAAACCAGAAGAACTAGCCAAATCGCAAACGGGCTTTCACAGGGGCCCTTCCAGCGTCACACGAAGAGCAGTGGAAAGGAGTCAGCAGACAGCCCACTGGAGCAGCTCACCCACCTTCCTCATCAGCATCCTGCTCTTCCTCCTGCCCACCGGGGATGACAAGCTGGTCCCGCTCCAGGTCCTCCGTGTCCTGATTTTCTTGGCTCGCCGGCATCACTCCTGGCACCTGTGGTGTTCGGCCAACTGCTTCAGCTTCTCCAATGCCTCTTCCACCCACTGGTCGGCCTTCCTCCACAGCCTGCTCTTGGCCTGGCTGCCGGGGCAGCCCCAGGCTGTCCCTTGGAAGCTCCTCACTGGCGACCTGAATCTCGTTGCTTTCCTCTGTACAGAGAACACAGTTAGCTGTGACCTCGCTAGCATTTACTTTAATTAAAACAAAAACAGGGGCGCCTGGGTGGCTCAGTTGGTTAAGCGACTGCCTTCGGCTCGGGTCATGATCCCGGGGTCCTGGGATCCGGTCCTGCATCGGGCTTCCCCTGCTCTGTGGGGTCTGCTTCTCCCTCTCCCTCTGCCTGCCACTCCCACTGCTTGTGCTCTCTCTGTCAAATAAATAAAATCTTTAAAAAAAAAATTAAAAAAAAATAAAAACAAAACCCCTCATACCACTCAATTCCCAGAGTCTTCCCAAGGGCTGGATGGGGAGCAACTGGGTAACTTATTCTGTGACTGCAAAGACTGCAGGCTTCTCTATACCTGCAGCTCATCTTCAGAACTATAAGAGAGAAGTGGTTTAGGAAAAAGGTCTGGACAAGTTCTCCTGATTTCAGTGACAACCTATCAGCTGAAGTGATCTGACCGTCCTGTGTGTCTGGACAAGTACTTGGGTGCAGGGCCTGCCAGTCTACCAAGGACTCACTCCCCAGAGACACAGCAGCCCCCGTTCCCGGGATGGCTGCCCAGGTCTCAACCATCTCCCCTATCACACAGTCCCAGTGATGTCCTCAGTAAGGCACAGCCCGGACCTTTACACAGCTGCCAGAGAACAAGGCACTCGCTTTACAAGGATGACAGTAAGACAAGGAAAGCCCTAGGGCCCCAATTCCAGGTGTCCAGAGAGAACTTCACCTGCCTCTGGCAGCCCAAACCCAGCTCACCAATTGCCTCCCACAAGGATACTCTGTTGTGGAGGCCATGTGCAAAGATGTTGGACACAAACCGCCACAATGGTTATTTTAGAGAGAGCTTAAATGCTTAATCACCAAGCTTCACTTACTTTTCCCACCTTGTCCCTTCAAATCCAAAGCCGCCTCAGAACTGGGGACTGGTGTCTGGGGATCACCATTGCTGGGCATGTTTCCTTTCACTTGAGGCACCTCTGCCTGGGGCAGGTCCACTTCCTGTGGCCTGGGCTGAGGCTCACTGGGGGCTCGGAGCTGAAACAGAATCACACAACAGCCAGGGCTCTATGACTTTACACCTCACAACAAACCCAAGCAATGCAATGGACATCCTTCTGACAAAACACCAAAGCCCTGAGAAATGCCACGATCTACCCCAATTGTACCATGCCATCTGGCATAAATCCAAAGCTCTGATGTTACGATCTCCCAGAAAGTACTTTCCGTAATGGATTAACAAGTAGGTTTCTAATGGTCTGATCAACAAGGACAAGGATGACCTGAATGATAAACCAGACCAGGCTGACTTCTATAGAACACTGACCCAACAAGAGCAAAACACATTCTTCAAGTGCACATGGAACATTCCCCAGGACAGATGTTAGGCAAGGAAACAAGCCTTAACAAATTTGAAATAATTGGAGAACATACTTTGTATGATGTCAATCACAATGGAATGAGATTATCAGTGACAATAAAATTTGAGAAATTCACAAACGTGGAAATTAGACAACATACTCCTAAATTAAACCAATGGGTCAAAGAAATCACAAGGCAAATGAGAGAGTAGCTTGAGAAAAAACAAATACATGACATACCAAACTTATGGGAGGCTGTTAAAGCAGTGCTTAGGGGGAAATTTGCAGGTCTTTATTAAGAAAAAAGAAAGATCTCGGGCGCCTGGGTGGCTCAGTCGTTAAGCGTCTGCCTTCGGCTCAGGTCATGATCCCAGGGTCCTGGGATCGAGTCCCACATCGGGCTCCCT